ATGGGTTCGAATGTCCCAACCCCAAAAGTCTGTACCCCATATTGAGTCAAACCCCACAACTTCCATAGTCACCACAACCGGAGTACAGAAAGCATACGAACTCCAACGTTCGTAACTTTCTTGATATTGCTCCGATCGCGACGATTCTTGGCTCGTCGGAAAGCTCTTGAGCAGAGGAGTCACTTCAGATATCTGCTCAAGCCAAATACCATTCACACACACTCAGGAAATCCAAACCGCGCAAAAACACAAATTCTTGCACACGCTCACACCACATATGCAAAGCACGAACATTTGATGGGAGGCAGACAGACGTGAATGCGAATGATAGCATCACACAACAGACTCGTTGAGCGACGACGTTGTGGATGTCGTCGGTGCGGACGTCGGCGGTGAAGGGGAGCTGCCGATAGGGGAGCAGTCTGACGACAGTGACGTGGTAGAGGTCCCGGTCGAAGAGGCGAAACCGCGACGGTCTGCCCGCTCCAACATTGGCAAGCCGCCGGAGAAGCTGAGCTACCACGCTTGTCTGCCACCGACCTCCTACAGCACTCTGCTCGACACTCCCAGCTGGCTCAACACTTGGCTTCCCAAAGCTCGGATAGGTCAGCCGGTTAGGAGGGCGCACATCCCTCCTAGGACGGTCAGCCGCACGTTGCTGCTGCTGCTGCTGCTGCTGCGGCTGCTGCCGCTGCTGCTGCTTCTGCTGCTGCTGCTGCTGCTGCTGCTGCTGCTGCGCGGCTGTAGCTCCTCCACCTCAGGTTCTCCCCCATCCTCAGTCACCCCAGAGATCTCCTCCCCCGACACGGAGACTTCCACCTGCCTTGAAGGCCGCTGCACCTCATCGGCCTCAATGATCAGCGGTGTCGTAGGAAGCTTCTGCTGCTGCTGCTTCCACTCCTTGTAGTACAAGGACTCGAGGAACTTCACATCCCTCGACACAGTCAGCTGCTGGCTGGTCAAGTCCCATATCAACCAGCCCTTATGATCCTTTGCAAGCCCCAAATGCACACCCCATCTCCCAGAAGCTTCCAGCTTTCCCCTCTTCTCCTTAGGCACATGAAACACCACCATGCAGCCGTAGGCCCTCAGCCTGTTGACTGCTGGTGCACTCCCATACCACTTGGTGTAGGGGATCCACTGCTTGTCCCCCACAGTCGCGAGCACCCTGTTCTTCACCACAACGACCTGCCGTAGTGCAGTCACCCAAAACGGATCCGGCAACCCTGCACGCCCAAGGAGAGTGCGAGCACCTTCCTGCAGGGTCCGGTTGAACCGCTCAGCCACGCCATTCTGCTGAGGGTTGTAGGGCACTGTAAGCTGATGCTGAATCCCCTTCTTCTTCAGCACCGCCTCAAAAACAGCGCCAATGAACTCTCCCCCGTTGTCAGTGCGGATCACCTTCACTTTGTGTCCGCTCTCCCTTTGAGCTCTCGGCATCCACTGGGCATCCACTCCTTGAGAACAGCCGCTGCCACATCCCCCTTAGTCTTGAGAGGGTAGACCCACACCGCACGCGTGTGGTCGTCCACGATGGTCAAGAAGTAGCGGCTGCCCGAGAGCGAAGTGGCCCTCGTGGGCCCCACCACGTCCATGTGCACAAGCGCGAGTGGTGCCTTGGCTGGTCCCGTGCTGCTGTTGAACGGGAACTTGGTGAATTTTGTCTCAAGGCACGTAGGGCAGCTCCCAATCTCCTTTGCTGCCCCTTTCACCTCCAGCCCCTTCAAACTCCCATCCTTCACTAGCTTCTGCAGCATCGGTATGTTGATGTGGCACAGCCTCTCGTGCCACGTCTCCCAATCGGCCTCACCACTCCCAGACGAAGCCTTCGCCCACGCAGCTGTCGCATCCACACCAGCAAGCACCTCACCATGTGATTGCTTTGGCTGCTGCACCTTCTTGACTGCATCCAGGGCCCCAGCAGTTGGTGCAGTCTCCTCTCCTCCCGCAGTTGCCTTAGCCGCTGCCGCTGCCTTTGCCGTTGCTGGTGGTTTCCCATTCCAAGGGATGATGGGCAGCTGCCACAAGTCCTTAATGCAGCTGCTCTTCTCCTCCAAATCCCACAGCAGCAACTTCCCAAGCTTTGCACGGCAGCTGGTTGGGCCGAATGTAACCTTGGCCTTGCTTTTTCGCAGCCGGCGCACAGAGAGGAGGTTAGCGGACAAGCCTTCAACCAGTAGCACATTTCCCAGTCCCACAAGTCCCCCATTGGCTCCCATCACCTTACATTTCCAACACCAATCACAGGGAGCAAAGCACCTGAAGTGGCAGCCACAAACTTGATCTTCCCAGGGGGCTTTACCTCATCAAGCAAATCTGCCCGCGGAGTCATGTGACTCGTGCAACCTGAATCGATCACCCAGTGAGTGAGGGGGTGCATCACAACCTTCCCAACCGAACCCACATCATCCTCACTCACTTTCACATCCTCAACCATGAGGAACAACCCAGGGTCAGCTTTACCTTGTGCACCATCACCTTGTGCACCTGAACCTTGCACAGCGCCACCTCGTGCGCGTTCACCACTCGGCGGCTTCATGCCTGGAGGCGCCCATCCTTCAGGCCGGCTGAAACACTTGAACCACGGGTGTCCAGCCTTCTTGCAGTACCAGCACGCACCCTCCATTCGGGTGCTCCCCCTGCCACCAGAGCTTCCATGCCCCTCGTTGTAGTCACCTCGGCCTCTTCCTCTGCCAAAGCCTCTCCCACGGCCTCGGCCTCTCCCTCCCCCTCTTCCTCGGCTGCCTCCTGCAGCTCCGTACCCCTCAGCAGTTTTGTTGGCAGCACCACCTCCTGTGTGGCGCCTGCGGAAGTCCTCCTGCAGGATCTGCTGCCGTAGCCACTCAGGCGTCCATTTGTCCTGCTGAACGTTGAGGGTGGGGATGAGGTTGTCCCACGAGTTGTCGAGCACTGAGATGATCTTGGTGCACTGCTGCATCTCCGACACCTTGCTGCCCGCCGCTGCCATCCTCGCATATGTGTCCTTGATCTTGTCAAGGACCGGCTTCACGTCGTCTCCCGATCGCATGGAGAGCGCCGCCAGCTCCTTCTCGAGCACAATCACCATCGGCAGCGTGTTGGGCTGAACCACATCGCGTAGAAGCTTCCACGCCTTCGGTCCGGAGTCGTCCAGCTCCACCAAATCCTTGATGTGCTGAAACATATCATTGTTGACCGACTGTAGAATCAAGTCGTACAGCACCGCGCTCCGCTCAATCCATCGGTCGCGGGCATCACCTTCCTCCGGCATCTTCTCTTCTCCCATCGCAAGTTTGAGCAGCTTGTAGCGCTTGAAAGCGCTCCGCATCCGCCCGCTCCATTCCTCATAGTTGGAGCCGTCCAAAGCCTCGATCTTGGACGGTGGCGGTTCACTCTTCTTCTCAGCTGCTTCTCCACTCATCTCCTCTGCTCCCAATCAGAGGTTTCAGCTCCCCCTTTGCTGTCCACACCGAAGTCCCACACAATTTCCACAAGTGTCGGCGCCAACGAAATTTCGGCAGAGTTTCCCCTTAGCGGAAGTCACTCCCAACCTCCAGAGCTCCACTTAGGCACGCCCACAGGCCATGGTGGGTCTAAGAGGGTCTTCACACTTCAGTAGACTCTTCACAACGTCCTCAATCAGCTCTGATACCACTTGTTAGAGATTGAGGACCGAGTCTATGAAGAATAGGTGCCCAAATAACTCAAAATCGTTGGCTTAGAATTCTGGACAGAAACCGCGATTTCACAAGAAACGCCGTCGACGAAAAACTAACCATTATAATTCCGTCAAACTCGAGTATGTTGTAGCTCTAGATCGTAGATACAATTCCCAATTTGGATCACCTCAAAAAATGGAGTATATCTCGAGTTATGCTTTTCGGCGCACTAGGGGGTATGCTGCCACAGAAACTTAACTCACTCACAATAGTTCTCACAAGTTTCACAAAAGTTCCACACACAAGAGAGTTAAGAGTAGCTAGAAACCAGGTAGGAGGGAAGAGGAGGACGAGAGGGAAGGTCCCAAGGAGTCCCCAACCAAAGGAAACCCCATGCCACACAATTCCCCTCTCCATAGGCAACCCCACTTTCACATTTGTCACTTTCCAACTCATGCCATCCACCTCAACCCACTTGGCCACACTTGCCAACCTGGTTTGGCTTCACCCAACCACATGGCAGCATTCTACAGTGATGGGTTCGAATGTCCCAACCCCAAAAGTCTGTACCCCATATTGAGTCAAACCCCACAACTTCCATAGTCACCACAACCGGAGTACAGAAAGCATACGAACTCCAACGTTCGTAACTTTCTTGATATTGCTCCGATCGCGACGATTCTTGGCTCGTCGGAAAGCTCTTGAGCAGAGGAGTCACTTCAGATATCTGCTCAAGCCAAATACCATTCACACACCTTCAGAAAATCCAAACCGCGCAGAAACACAAATTCTTGCACGCGCTCACACCACATATGCAAAGCACGAACATTTGATGGGAGGCAGACAGACGTGAATGCGAATGATAGCATCACACAACAGACTCGTTGAGCGACGACGTTGTGGATGTCGTCGGTGCGGACGTCGGCGGTGAAGGGGAGCTGCCGATAGGGGAGCAGTCTGACGACAGTGACGTGGTAGAGGTCCCGGTCGAAGAGGCGAAACCGCGACGGTCTGCCCGCTCCAACATTGGCAAGCCGCCGGAGAAGCTGAGCTACCACGCTTGTCTGCCACCGACCTCCTACAGCACTCTGCTCGACACTCCCAGCTGGCTCAACACTTGGCTTCCCAAAGCTCGGATAGGTCAGCCGGTTAGGAGGGCGCACATCCCTCCTAGGACGGTCAGCCGCACGTTGCTGCTGCTGCTGCTGCTGCTGCGGCTGCTGCCGCTGCTGCTGCTGCTGCTGCGGCTGTTGCTGCTGCTGCTCCACCTCAGGTTCTCCCCCATCCTCAGTCACCCCAGAGATCTCCTCCCCCGACACGGAGACTTCCACCTGCCTTGAAGGCCGCTGCACCTCATCGGCCTCAATGATCAGCGGTGTCGTAGGAAGCTTCTGCTGCTGCTGCTTCCACTCCTTGTAGTACAAGGACTCGAGGAACTTCACATCCCTCGACACAGTCAGCTGCTGGCTGGTCAAGTCCCATATCAACCAGCCCTTATGATCCTTTGCAAGCCCCAAGTGCACACCCCATCTCCCAGAAGCTTCCAGCTTTCCCCTCTTCTCCTTAGGCACATGAAACACCACCATGCAGCCGTAGGCCCTCAGCCTGTTGACTGCTGGTGCACTCCCATACCACTTGGTGTAGGGGATCCACTGCTTGTCCCCCACAGTCGCGAGCACCCTGTTCTTCACCACAACGACCTGCCGTAGTGCAGTCACCCAAAACGGATCCGGCAACCCTGCACGCCCAAGGAGAGTGCGAGCACCTTCCTGCAGGGTCCGGTTGAACCGCTCAGCCACGCCATTCTGCTGAGGGTTGTAGGGCACTGTAAGCTGATGCTGAATCCCCTTCTTCTTCAGCACCGCCTCAAAAACAGCGCCAATGAACTCTCCCCCGTTGTCAGTGCGGATCACCTTCACTTTGTGTCCGCTCTCCCTTTGAGCTCTCGGCATCCACTGGGCATCCACTCCTTGAGAACAGCCGCTGCCACATCCCCCTTAGTCTTGAGAGGGTAGACCCACACCGCACGCGTGTGGTCGTCCACGATGGTCAAGAAGTAGCGGCTGCCCGAGAGCGAAGTGGCCCTCGTGGGCCCCACCACGTCCATGTGCACAAGCGCGAGTGGTGCCTTGGCTGGTCCCGTGCTGCTGTTGAACGGGAACTTGGTGAATTTTGTCTCAAGGCACGTAGGGCAGCTCCCAATCTCCTTTGCTGCCCCTTTCACCTCCAGCCCCTTCAAACTCCCATCCTTCACTAGCTTCTGCAGCATCGGTATGTTGATGTGGCACAGCCTCTCGTGCCACGTCTCCCAATCGGCCTCACCACTCCCAGACGAAGCCTTCGCCCACGCAGCTGTCGCATCCACACCAGCAAGCACCTCACCATGTGATTGCTTTGGCTGCTGCACCTTCTTGACTGCATCCAGGGCCCCAGCAGTTGGTGCAGTCTCCTCTCCTCCCGCAGTTGCCTTAGCCGCTGCCGCTGCCTTTGCCGTTGCTGGTGGTTTCCCATTCCAAGGGATGATGGGCAGCTGCCACAAGTCCTTAATGCAGCTGCTCTTCTCCTCCAAATCCCACAGCAGCAACTTCCCAAGCTTTGCACGGCAGCTGGTTGGGCCGAATGTAACCTTGGCCTTGCTTTTTTGCAGCCGGCGCACAGAGAGGAGGTTAGCGGACAAGCCTTCAACCAGTAGCACATTTCCCAGTCCCACAAGTCCCCCATTGGCTCCCATCACCTTACATTTCCAACACCAATCACAGGGAGCAAAGCACCTGAAGCGGCAGCCACAAACTTGATCTTTCCAGGGGGCTTCACCTCATCGAGCAAATCTGCCCGCGGAGTCATGTGACTCGTGCAACCTGAATCGATCACCCAGTGAGTGAGGGGGTGCATCACAACCTTCCCAACCGAACCCACATCATCCTCACTCACTTTCACATCCTCAACCATGAGGAACAACCCAGGGTCAGCTTTACCTTGTGCACCATCACCTTGTGCACCTGAACCTTGCACAGCGCCACCTCGTGCGCGTTCACCACTCGGCGGCTTCATGCCTGGAGGCGCCCATCCTTCAGGCCGGCTGAAACACTTGAACCACGGGTGTCCAGCCTTCTTGCAGTACCAGCACGCACCCTCCATTCGGGTGCTCCCCCTGCCACCAGAGCTTCCATGCCCCTCGTTGTAGTCACCTCGGCCTCTTCCTCTGCCAAAGCCTCTCCCACGGCCTCGGCCTCTCCCTCCCCCTCTTCCTCGGCTGCCTCCTGCAGCTCCGTACCCCTCAGCAGTTTTGTTGGCAGCACCACCTCCTGTGTGGCGCCTGCGGAAGTCCTCCTGCAGGATCTGCTGCCGTAGCCACTCAGGCGTCCATTTGTCCTGCTGAACGTTGAGGGTGGGGATGAGGTTGTCCCACGAGTTGTCGAGCACTGAGATGATCTTGGTGCACTGCTGCATCTCCGACACCTTGCTGCCCGCCGCTGCCATCCTCGCATATGTGTCCTTGATCTTGTCAAGGACCGGCTTCACGTCGTCTCCCGATCGCATGGAGAGCGCCGCCAGCTCCTTCTCGAGCACAATCACCATCGGCAGCATGTTGGGCTGCACCACATCGCGTAGAAGCTTCCACGCCTTCGGTCCGGAGTCGTCCAGCTCCACCAAATCCTTGATGTGCTGAAACATATCATTGTTGACCAACTGTAGAATCAAGTCGTACAACACCGCGCTCCGCTCAATCCATCGGTCGCGGGCATCACCTTCCTCCGGCATCTTCTCTTCTCCCATCGCAAGTTTGAGCAGCTTGTAGCGCTTGAAAGCGCTCCGCATCCGCCCGCTCCATTCCTCATAGTTGGAGCCGTCCAAAGCCTCGATCTTGGACGGTGGCGGTTCACTCTTCTTCTCAGCTGCTTCTCCACTCATCTCCTCTGCTCCCAATCAGAGGTTTCAGCTCCCCCTTTGCTGTCCACACCGAAGTCCCACACAATTTCCACAAGTGTCGGCGCCAACGAAATTTCGGCAGAGTTTCCCCTTAGCGGAAGTCACTCCCAACCTCCATAGCTTCACTTAGGCACGCCCACAGGCCATGGTGGGTCTAAGAGGGTCTTCACACTTCAGTAGACTCTTCACAACGTCCTCAATCAGCTCTGATACCACTTGTTAGAGATTGAGGACCGAGTCTATGAAGAATAGGTGCCCAAATAACTCAAAATCGTTGGCTTAGAATTCTGGACAGAAACCGCGATTTCACAAGAAACGCCGTCGACGAAAACCTAACCGTTAGAATTCCGTCAAACTCGATATGCTGTAGCTCTAGACCGTGGCTACAATTCCCAATTTGAATCACCTCAAAAGATGGAGTATATCTCGAGTTATGCTTTTCGGCGCACTAGGGGGTATGCTGCCACAGAAATTTTAACTCACTCACAATAGTTCTCACAAGTTTCACAAAAGTTCCACACACAAGAGAGTTAGAGTAGCTAGAAACCAGGTAGGAGGGAAGAGGAGGACGAGAGGGAAGGTCCCAAGGAGTCCCCAACCAAAGGAAACCCCATGCCACACAATTCCCCTCTCCATAGGCAACCCCACTTTCACATTTGTCACTTTCCAACTCATGCCATCCACCTCAACCCACTTGGCCACACTTGCCAACCTGGTTTGGCTTCACCCAACCACATGGCAGCATTCTACAGTGATGGGTTCGAATTCCCAACCCCAAAAGTCTGTACCCCATATTGAGTCAAACCCCACAACTTCCATAGTCACCACAACCGGAGTACAGAAAGCATACGAACTCCAACGTTCGTAACTTTCTTGATATTGCTCCGATCGCGACGATTCTTGGCTCGTCGGAAAGCTCTTGAGCAGAGGAGTCACTTCAGATATCTGCTCAAGCCAAATACCATTCACACACACTCAGGAGATCCAAACCACACCAAACACAAATTCTTGCACACGCTCACACCACGCATGCAACGCACGAACATATGATGGGAGGCAGACAGACGTGAATGCATATGATTGCATCACACAACACCTTCTGCCGGTACTCTGCTTCCTCGCGCGACTGAAACTCCTCGTCGTCGAACATCAGCTCTGCGTAGGCGTCGACGGAGACCGGCGTTTTCGGCACTCACCCGATCTGCTCCTCGTCGATGAAGCGCCGACGCAGCTTGTCGACGTACGACTGCTGGTGCAGCCACAGCTTTCTCGTAGGACGGTCACGCACGATTTCCAGCCCGAGATACTTCTCGACCGGGCTGATTTCGCGCAGCTCGAAGGCGGCCTCCAGCAGCTCCTTCAGCATCGCAGTGCTGCTGCTTGCGGCGAGCAGATCGTCGACGTAGACGAGCACCCAGCACATCACTCCGCCATCTCCGGCCTTGAAGTAGAGTGCCTCGTCGACCTGACTCTTCTGCCAGCCAGCGCCAGTCAGCACCGCGTCGAGCGCCGAGTACCACAGCAGCGGACTCTGCTTCAGGCCGTACAAGCTCTTCAGCAGCTTGCAGACTCGGCCAGTTCCGTCGTTGTAGTAGTCGGGCTGGTACATATAGAGGGCGCGATCCAGCTTACTCTGCACAAACGCGTTTTTCCATGTCCAGCTGCATCAGGTGCAGGTCGAGGACTGCTACGATGCTGAGGAAGATCCGCAGAGTTACGTAGCTCCCCACCGGCGCGTACGTTTCGTCGTAATCTGCGCCATAGACCGTCGTGAAACCCTTCACCACCAAAAGAGCCTTCTCGCGGGCGACCGTGTCATCGACGTGGTACTTCGTCATGAGCACCCAGCGGTTCTTCATGATGTTGACGCTGACGCTCGACTTGTTCCCACGTCCCGTTGGAGATGAGGTTCTTGATTTCCTCGTCCATGGCAGCTTTCACTTCTTCGCCCTTCCAGCTTGCTAACGCCTCTTTCACCGTCTTGTTGGCGATGTCCCAGCGATGGTCCGGATCGGCGTGCATGTCGGGGTCGAGCTCGGGCAGAACAACGTTGTCCCCCGCGTCGTCGAGCAGAGTGCTGTAGGAGGTCGGTGGCAGACAAGCGTGGTTACTCGGCTTCTCCGGCGGCTTGCCAATGTTGGAGCAAGCAGACCGTCGCGGTTTCGCATCTTCGACCGGGACCTCTACCACGTCGCTGTCGTCGGACTGCTCCCCTATAGGCAGCTCCCCTTCACCGCCGACGTCCGCACCGACGACTTCCACAACGTCGTCGCTCGACGAGTCTGTTGTGTGATGCTATCATTCGCATTCACGTCTGTCTGCCTCCCATCAAATGTTCGTGCTTTGCATGTGTGGTGTGAGCGCGTGCAAGAATTTGTGTTTCTGCGCGGTTTGGATTTTCTGAGTGTGTGTGAATGTTATTTGGCTTGAGCAGATATCTGAAGTGACTCCTCTGCTCAAGAGCTTTCCGACGAGCCAAGAATCGTCGCGATCGGAGCAATATCAAGAAAGTTACGAACGTTGGAGTTCGTATGCTTTCTGTACTCCGGTTGTGGTGACTATGGAAGTTGTGGGGTTTGACTCAATATGGGGTACAGACTTTTGGGGTTGGGAATTCGAACCCATCACTGTAGAATGCTGCCATGTGGTTGGGTGAAGCCAAACCAGGTTGGCAAGTGTGGCCAAGTGGGTTGAGGTGGATGGCATGAGTTGGAAAGTGACAAATGTGAAAGTGGGGTTGCCTATGGAGAGGGGAATTGTGTGGCATGGGGTTTCCTTTGGTTGGGGACTCCTTGGGACCTTCCCTCTCGTCCTCCTCTTCCCTCCTACCTGGTTTCTAGCTACTCTAACTCTCTTGTGTGTGGAACTTTGTGAAACTTGTGAGAACCATTGTGAGTGAGTTAAGTTTCTGTGTGGCAGCATACCCCCTAGTGCGCCGAAAAGCATAACTCGAAATGTACTCCATCTTTTGAGGTGCTTCAAATTGGGAATTGTAGCCACGGTCTAGAGCTACAACATACTCGAGTTTGACGGAATTATAAGGGTTAGGTTTTCGTCGACGGCGTTTCTTGAGAAATCACGGTTTCTGTCCAGAATTCTAAGCCAACGATTTTGAGTTATTTGGACACCTATTCTTCATAGACTCGGTCCTCAATCTCTAACAAGTGGTATCAGAGCTGATTGAGGACGTTGTGAAGAGTCTACTGAAGTGTGAAGACCCTCTTAGACCCACCATGGCCTGTGGGCGTGCCTAAGTGAAGCTATGGAGGTTGGGAGTGACTTACGCTAAGGGGAAACTCTGCCGAAATTTCGTTGGCGCCGACACTTGTGGAAATTGTGTGGGACTTCGGTGTGGACAGCAAAGGGGGAGCTGAAATTTCTGATTGGGAGCAGAGGAGATGAGTGGAGAAGCAGCTGAGAAGAAGAGTGAACCGCCACCGTCCAAGATCGAGGCTTTGGACGGCTCCAACTATGAGGAATGGAGCGGGCGGATGCGGAGCGCTTTCAAGCGCTACAAGCTGCTCAAACTTGCGATGGGAGAAGAGAAGATGCCGGAGGAAGGTGATGCCCGCGACCGATGGATTGAGCGGAGCGCGGTGCTGTACGACTTGATTCTACAGTCGGTCAACAACGATATGTTTCAGCACATCAAGGATTTGGTGGAGCTTGACGACTCCGGACCGAAGGCGTGGAAGCTTCTACGCGATGTGGTGCAGCCCAACACGCTGCCGATGGTGATTGTGCTGGAGAAGGAGCTGGCGGCGCTCTCCATGCAATCGGGAGACGACGTGAAGCCGGTCCTTGACAAGATCAAGGACACATATGCGAGGATGGCAGCGGCGGGCAGCAAGGTGTCGGAGATGCAGCAGTGCACCAAGATCATCTCAGTGCTCGACAACTCGTGGGACAACCTCATCCCCACCCTCAACGTTCAGCAGGACAAATGGACGCCTGAGTGGCTACGGCAGCAGATCCTGCAGGAGGACTTCCGCAGGTGCCACACAGGAGGTGGTTCTGCCAACAAAACTGCTGAGGGGTACGGAGCTGCAGGAGGCAGCCGAGGAAGAGGGGGAGGGAGAGGCCGAGGCCGTGGGAGAGGCTTTGGCAGAGGAAGAGGCCGAGGTGACTACAACGAGGGGCATGGAAGCTCTGGTGGCAGGGGGAGCACCCGAATGGAGGGTGCGTGCTGGTACTGCAAGAAGGCTGGACACCCGTGGTTCAAGTGTTTCAGCCGGCCTGAAGGATGGGCGCCTCCAGGCATGAAGCCGCCAAGTGGTGAACGTGCACGAGGTGGCGCAGTGCAAGGTGCAGGTGCACAAGGTGATGGTGCACAAGGTAAAGCTGACCCTGGGCTGTTCCTCATGGTTGAGGAAGTGAAAGGGAGTGAGGATGATGTGGGTTCAGTTGGGAAGGTTGTGATGCACCCCCTCACTCACTGGGTGATCGATTCTGGTTGCACGAGTCACATGACTCCCCAGGCAGACTTGCTCGATGAGGTGAAACCCCCTGGGAAGATCAAGTTTGTGGCTGCCGCTTCAGGTGCTTTGCTCCCTGTGATTGGTGTTGGGAATGCCAAGGTGATGGGAGCTAATGGGGGACTTGTGGGACTTGGGAATGTCCTACTGGTTGAAGGTTTGTCCATCAACCTCCTCTCTGTGCGCCGGCTGCAGAAAAGCAAGGCAAAGGTCACATTTGGCCCAAGATCATCTCAGTGCTCGACAACTCATGGGACAACCTCATCCCCACCCTCAACGTTCAGCAGGACAAATGGACGCCTGAGTGGCTACGGCAGCAGATCCTGCAGGAGGACTTCCGCAGGTGCCACACAGGAGGTGGTTCTGCCAACAAAACTGCTGAGGGGTACGGAGCTGCAGGAGGCAGCCGAGGAAGAGGGGGAGGGAGAGGCCGAGGCCGTGGGAGAGGCTTTGGCAGAGGAAGAAGCCGATGTGACTACAACGAGGGGCATGGAAGCTCTGGTGGCA